CTCTTGTATGTCTTTGTACTGCTGTCAGGAATACATGAATATGGTTCTGTTACAGGTGCTAATTCTGTTATTCCTTTTGAGGCTAATTTGTGTTTCGTGTTCTTGTTTAATCCTGTGTGTTGTTTCCTCGATACAATAAAGGAACATTTTGTTCTGTGTACTGGATAACAATGTATTTCATATCATTGTAGTCGAAAGATAGGAAGTGTTATGATTGACGAGATGTTTCTGATTGTTGAACATGTCAGGCGGAATAAGTCGTGAAAGAAGTAAATTGAACTTACCATCTATCATATCCTATCAAACGTGAATCACACCCGATTTAATTATTTACATCTTGGGTTCCCTAAAGAACAGACATAATCGTCGTACAACCCAAAGAAACATGATCATATTAATAGATAAATTTCTTGCACAACATAATTAGGAAATTAAGTTGATAGAATCACATCAGTATTTCTTATTTCGTTTTCTATGCATGTCTTGAAACCCTTTGTGGCACGGGTTTTGTTGATATTCTCAATGGCATTGGCAGATCCCATCTAGACAAAGCCGTATGCCAACTCTAGCTTTGCAATAGGCTACACAATCATCATTTTTCTTGCATTTTGGTGGCAAAACCCTCTAATCATATCCCTTATGCAAATAGCAAGAGAGCGGCTAACAAAATCGAGTTGAGATTTGCTGTTCAAAATTGGTCATCCAACTTGCTGTACGCCCAAATGATTCATTGATACATCATTTTAAATTAATGTGTGCAACTTTTCTCTTGCTGTCACTTGTGTTTAAAAATAGGGATAAAATGACGTGTCAATAAATTGTTGATGTTCAACAAGTTAGAGAGTCAATTTTGAACAATAGATCTCAGTTCAACAACACCACCACCTTCAGGGAAGCCGCCTTCATGTTCATATGTAGACTACATCTATAAACAGCTATGTATACATGGTATCTGGGAGTTTTTGTTTTTTCAATTTTTTGTCAATTTTATTTGGAATCTACCGTTATAATAATGAGGTACAAAATGACAATACTGAAATAGTTCAAATATGTGTGGGATAAAATTGTTAGCGAGTAATAGATTATAGATATACATCCTTTTCACCGTTTTCAACAAATTAAAAGACTCAATTATCATATAATCAAAAGAAAACGGCCAAATTCACAAACTAAATTCATTTCATAACACAATTTGGAAATTAAGTTGATGTAATTAATCACATTCTTTCTTTTTTCCTTTTATAAGAAGAAAATTAACAGGGCACATTTTTTCTAGAAATAATTTTACTGCATAACATAAATTTGAAAATTAATTTGATGCAATGACATTTCTATTTCTTATTTCCTCAAATGAGCAGAGAAATAGAATAGACTTTTGGGAGGACAAATTTTGTTCAATAGCCTCTAGTTTTGAAACCCTTTGTGCCACTGGCTGATTTTGTTGATTCTTCGGAAGTGTAGCATTGGCAGATCCCACTTAGACAAAGCGGTATGCCAACACGAGATCTGCAATAAGCAGCACAATCAGCGTTTTTCTTGCAATGTGGCGCCTGTGCGGACACATTCATTAACATAAAATCTGCATTAATAACAACATTAATTCACATAGAGAGAGAGAGAGAGAGAGAGAGAGAGAGAGAAGGGGGAGGGGAAAATGAAAAATTAGGGTTTAAAATTTTTATTACCTGAATTATGATTAAAAAAGTTAAGCACATGACATTTGCATAAGAAAC